CAACGTTCCAACATTTTAGCAGATTATTTTGAGGCTGAAATGTCGCTTGATATATTGAACAGATCATGATGTCACCCAAATATTACCAACAGTAATATATATCATTTTGTAACAAGACATTTAAAGGAACATATCGGCCAACATATCGATGAAGATATCGTCCATGTCAAGGATATATAGCCAAAAATTGCTAAAAACAGTAAAAGATATATAGACCAAATAGTTTTACAGTAAGGCTTATAAAAGGACATATTAGATGATATATCAGGCCATGTTAGGATATTTAAAACAATGCTTTCTAACTACATCCAAGTATCACTCCCTTGGCTTATTCATACCTACTAGCCACTCTAACTGCAAACTTGATGTCGAGCCAGCTAATGGTTAGGTACATGAGACTATGCACCAGTTGATATACAGTCATATCTTCCAGTTCCTTGCCTTCTACAGCACTTAACTTGACATTGGCTTCTATAGGAGTTGAGATCGGTGTACACTTGAGTATACCAAACTTCTGTGAGAGATCCTTGGAATACTTGAGTTGGCATAGGAAAAATCCTTTTTTAAATCGCTCTACCTCCTGCCCAACAAAATGTTTTAACTCTCCAAGCTCCTTCATTTGAGAGTGTGCCGCCAAGTTTTCCTTTATACAGTGAGACTCTTACCTCATCGTCTCCTGTGATGGTTAGGACATCCATGTATGCTAGCAGAACTGCTAGCTTGCCATTGTGACCTTCCACAAACAAATTCGACTTTGTCAGTGTCCGTGAGTAACCATTATACACAAGGAACTCTGCTATCTTCTTGTACCGTACTTGTGGAGCTTGCTACAACCCATATGGAGCTTTCCTTAATTTGCAGATCCCGATGGTTGTGTTCACGTGAATTGTAAGTTGACTATTTTGGATCTTGTCATTTCTTATGAACAAGGTACCTTGATGTTGTCATCTTCCTTATCAAAGGATGCTGTAATCAAGAATGAGCATGCGATTGACCAATTAAGGATTTTCCTTTTCCTTCCTTGTTTACTTCTTCAATATGAAATCCGCATAACGCTTCTCCTGTTAGGTGGTCCTACACGTCATTCTAGCCCTGATATAGGTTTCTAAGCCTGTCCTACTGTTAGTTCACTAGTTGTCTACAGAGTTGACTGCATATTGATCACAAAAGAGAGGGTTTAATCATGTTCTCTTTTTGATGTATGCTCCAACTTGAGGGAAATTATTGCATGTTATTAGTTGTTTGACTATACACGTATTTAGGTCGATATCCCTACCACTTATGTAATCCCTCCTAATATCTATTTAATAGAAGTTATGGTTTGTGAAAATAAGAACATTATCAGCTTCCCTTTCTCTAGAAGCCAAGGTTAGCTATTGCGACAAAATAGCGGTAGAAAGCGCAAAGTCAAATAGCGGTCTAATTTAGATATGTATAAATACTAAAAAAATTTAAAGAAAAATATAAGAAATCTAAAAGTACATATTGGATGATTTAAAGAGATCCTAAATATGAAATAGACATATAACCATCACGTAATACCGAAGATGACTGGAGGAGTTAAAAAGTAATCGTCTTCGAGAAAAAGAGCTTAGCGGTGACAGGACTGCCCTAAGAGGAGCTCACGGTGAAGGAGATGAGAGAAAGTATCAAGGTAGGTGCTAGAGACTATAAGTGGCGGGAGTATGCTGAAAATCACAGGAAACGGTGGAATATAATGGTCAATGGTTGAGTTTAATTTTAAAAAAATAAGCCTCAAGCCGTTTTTAAATAGCAGTCAAAAAACAAATTCCGAATGTAATCGCTCACTATTTACCGTTGACACACTATTGGCCGCTTTTGCGAACAGACATATTCCACAATATGTCACCGCTATTGCGCGATAGCGTCGCGGGAAAGGACCGTTAACGCTATTAGCGCCACTATTGTGGGGCTATTTACCGCTATTTATAACAGTGCTAGAAGCATAAACTAAATGAATGACTAATCAAAACTAGTTCCACGCTAGTGCAATGTGATTGCATTTCCTTCATTTAGTAAAGCAACAAACCAACAAGAATAGAAACAAATGATTAATGCAAAACAATATTGAATAAGAACAATAACACCAGCTATACTAAACTTCCCATCACAACATTATCTGCATGTTCAGTTACTATAGCATTTCTGGATCACAATCTACTATAAAGCTACATATTGTTCACATAGAATATATGTTTTACATCGTTTTTTTTTTAAATCGGTTTTAAGAGACTATATATTTTTTTCCTTTTTCTCTTCCTTTTTTGGTTGTAACTAGGAGAGTGAACTTGTTGCCCCACATAAAGGAAAATCTAGTTTTACTGCTAATAACAAGAGCAAAGATAAATTTGTATGTACATAGTTTCCATAAAAATAGCATTTTTAAAAGGGAAAATTACTTCCAACCATAGTTTCCATAAAAATAGCATAAGAAAAGGGAAAATTACTTCCAACCCATCCAACTCACTTAACTTTAAATAGCATGTCTCCTCCCCTCAAGAAAAAGGTCAAAAGCATTTACCACCTTCGACAATGAAGCATACATCTAGCCCTTCCCTCGGCATAAAATTCCTAAACCACGTATGTCATCTCTCTCTTCATTCTCGTTCTTTTTCTCATATTCCCATGAATTCATGAACTCATTCCACTCTTAGCTTCCCGACCGCCTTCGTTTTCCGTTGTCACTTCTTCCCATGCCTCACTTGAGTGGCGTGGTGGTGAGGCCCGAAAAGAGGCAGGGTAGGAGGTGACAAAGGAGAGGTAAGCAACGAGTCAATGAGTGGCATCAGAGGAGAGTTTTATAGTGAGGCGAAAAGGCTGTAAACGCAACGAAGGAGCAATGGTGGTTGAGAACCGAGAAAGAAAAAAATAGAGCTTTATTACCTTTATTTTCTTTATTATCTTTATTCATTTCTCGTTTTCTTTCATTGGTTAATGTTATATATTTGTTATTCCTATGACATTAATTCAAATTTCGTACTTTTCTTATTTATTGATATTTTTATTTTTTCCATTACACTTCTTCAATTTTTAATACACTTCTTTGTTTTCGATGTCTTTACTTATTTTTTGTTACATTTGTTCAATTCTTGTCATCTTTCTTTATTTATTGATACAAATACAATCATTTTTTTGTTACTTTTCCATTTCTTGTTACTTTTTGTCGTTTTTCATTACCTTTGTCATTTTATGTTCCTATTAACCCTTGTTCTCTTTCTCCTCCTTCAATCACTATCTCTTTCGCTTCTGTAGCAACCTCTTCCCATCGCCACCCGCCGCATTGCCTCACCAACCGAACATTACGTCCACCACCTCTTGTTGCCTATCTTTACTTTGTCTAAGGGTGGGCGTAGGCTGGGTCAACCCGTGGGTCGACCTAGCCCAACCCTACTTTTAGCAAGAACTAGTATGACCCGAATTAGGTCAGGCTTATCCCGGCCTAGTATGTACTCGTGCCATGGGCTGGGCTAGATCAAGCCCTAGACCTAATAACAAGGAGTTTGGCCCAACCCAAATTAGGCACGACCCAGCTGTGGCCCGGCCCAACCCGAGTGTTTAATTATTTTTAAATGCCTGCTGGTAGCAGGCTAGCAAAGCCAAAGGCCCAAAGTTGGACCTTTAGCCTTGGTCCATGGTCAAGTAGCGACCTTGTTAATATAGATGAAAAAGAAGAGCAGAAAACAAAATCCTAATTTCAACTGCTTGTACACATAAATAAAGGCAACACGACCAATGTATATGAGATTTTTAAAACAGAAGAAGAATCTTTCGAATGTCAATTTTGAGTTCTACTAGAAAGACATAAGACTATAGAGATGCTTATGTGATTGCCACAAAGGAGCACATAGAACAAAAAAACGTAGCATGCAGACTTGAAAATGAAATAAATTAAAAATTAAAAAACTTAAAAAAAATGTGTGGGCCAAACCGTGGCCTGAACCACCGTGGGGTGGGTCAAACCCGACCCGTCTCCATGTAGGCCGCAAACCGAACTGGGTCCAACCCAAGACCTAGGGACAAAGTCCTTAACCCAGCCCGCCGAGACTCGCTCGGGTCTGCATCTGAACTAGACAGCTAGAAAACCGATCGGGGCTGTTAACGTGTTAGGCCCGGCCCACACCCACCCCTAGCTTCACCTCTATTTCCCTCTAGACCTCCTACCCCTCTACTTTGGCAGGGTTTGGAGGGAGGCAATGTAGATGAGACGACGAGAGGCAAAGACAACAATAGGCGGATATGAATGATGAAACCATGTTCATGGATTTATGAGAGGGATGAGAGAGAAAAGAGAGAATGGAAAGGGAAAAGATAAAGAGTGGTGTTGTAAATTTCAAAAAATACACATGGGCTTTCGTGTGGGTGGAAGCATGACAATAGTTTCTTAGAGAGAGGGATCACGTTTTTATCTTTTTTTTTTGGGGCCGGGGGAGGGGGGGTGAGAGTGGAGGCAATTTTCCCCAAGGAAAGAGAAAATACTATGTATAAAGTTGATCATGTATGGAATTTTTACTTATGAAAAAAGCACCACATTAAGAAGCGTTCAATGATGCCGTAAATTCCTAAACTTCATTGAGTTCAATAACGCTTCCGCCTGTCATAGAATCAAACCATCATTGAATAACGAGTAGGTAAACATTTCATTGAACATTCACCAATATTTATCATTCATATGAGTAACATACTAAATTATTCACCCTTCTTCCTGAATTACGCAAAAACCCAGTAGCTAATTATGCAGGCCAAGATTACCAATCAAGGATAGCATGTGAAATCAAGCTCCCTTGTACAGAATTTTGAGCCTGCATTCTTCCACTATATGATGGTTTGAGATCTTTCAAATAATTTCTAAATCTAACCCTACAGTACGCCAGCAAGTTCACAAAAATGAAGCAACAAAATTTAAATAAAAAAAAGGAGCAATCTTTATACGTATTAGCAAATAAAAACATGGGAAAATAATCGGAAAAATGGAAAATTACCCGTATGCCTCTTTTGATTTCCTAAATTTACAACGAACTCGATGCAACCTTCAAAGAAATCAAACACAAAGGAATCAATTTAGCGCCTTAACAAAACTAAAACGAAAACCAAAATCAAAACGATAGAAAAGGAGCAATCTTTTCTCACCAAAATCGGCCAATCCAGAACAAGAACGACCAAACCCCGTGGAAATCGACAGAAATATCAACCAAACCGGCGAGAGAAACGAGGCAGAAAGCGCTGAATCGAAGCATGATTCTCTGATCCTAAGTTACCAATCGAAGAAACCGAGGTTTTGGGTTTGGATGGACGTGAAGCAAACCCTAGTTATAATTTTAGAATTTTGTCTGCTTCTTCGGATAAATGTGGAGGCCTCAAGCAGAAATCGAGGCCTGGAGTCGTAGAATTTGAAAGCTAGAGGAAAGTGCAAATAGCAATAAATCGGGGCGAATTTGATCACAAAAGATTGGCTAATTATCACCTAAATACCTTATAATTTTCCCAATTTTGCACTTATATACCCACAATTGTTTTTCTTAATACTCACGTATTCGGAAGTATGTGATACTCAGATGCTAAGTTTATAGTTTTTTAGCTCTTAATATTTGTTGAACATGTTGTTAAACCCACCAAAAATCTATTTTGAAGTGTAATTAAAGTAGGTATAAAATAGAAGTATGATATATTTAACGGTTGATGGAGACGGAATGCAAACCTAGAGCGGGGTGAATAGCAATGTTACAAAATTTTTAGCTAAACTCAAAATATGCAATGGAAAATAAATAAAATAGGAAAAACTAAGAGCAACCAACACAAGAACACACGGGATTTTTAAAGTGATTCGGATCAAAATTCTATGTCCACTCTTCCTTCTCGCGAAGAGCCTTCTTCACTATGACCGAAGTTACTCCTGAATTACAACCCGATTCAGTAAGAATTATAAATAGGACCCTATAATCTACCCAAAAGCAGTCGAGATACCTAACTCCTCACAATGATTAGAAGAAACCTAGACCTAGCAAACCACACTCAATTATCCTGGCTTGAGCATGTCAATCCTCAATTACATTGGCTTGAATACGCCATCAAACTCAAGAGTTTGAAATGCACAACCAACCGTAAAAACAATTAAAACATAATTAAAAAGATCTTATAGCCCTTTAAATAAATCGCTCTCCAAAATATTAATATTGAAGATCCGTGAAGAAGCAAAGTTATAGTTGAACACAAATAACACTTCTCTCCTAATTGAAATAATCTTTCATGATGAGCGCGACGAGAAGAAGTTGAAAGAGGCTCCGATAGTTGAGTTCTCAAATCAAATTCTCTCTCCAAATCCTAGAATAGATGTTCCAATTTTTCAGTGCATGAGCCATCTCCAAAATATGACCTCGTCCTCTCGTATATAGACTTTGATAACAAAAAAGAGATATAGGAATCATAGTACAAATTGGAGATGATAGGGATTGACCATCGACGGTTAGATTTAACTATTTGATGGTACTGTTCATCCATCAATTGTCATGTTCATCTTTTGGGATAACGCGGATCATTAACTGTAGTTCATCGATTGTTTACTGTAGATGATCGACAACCGCAACCTACCATCAATTGTTAGATAGATCAGATCGAGAGCTTTCCAAAAATCTATTATAATAGCAATTTGGATAACCAAGGCAAAAGTTATGATCCATGCAAGTTTCAGCCTCTGCGTATGTCTTAATCCTGCTGCTGATTGCTTCGACATTGTTTAACTAAAACATTCATATCTTGAGCTATACTCCTCCGAATTAAGTTCTGTTTGATCCTGTTGATTTGTAACAATGAGACGGGCACTCCCACAAGATCAACTATGACTTTAACTCCTCCTATATGATCAAGAATCATTTTAACTCTTAAAATTTTCCAAAGCATGTCATAAGACTCATAACCATCGATGGTGAAATATGATCATCGATAATCGATGATGATCATCGATGGTTCCTTGTAGCTCATTAATTGTTGAAATTCTAATTTCTAGAATTCATATATTGTTTACTGTAGTCCATCGATGGTTGGAGCGATCATTGATGGTTGACTGTAGTCCATTGATAGTGCGATTTCTTATTTCTGGAAAATACAGATGTTGATTGTAGTCCATCAATGACCTATAGACCATCGATGGTTGCCTCATGACCATTAATGATTAATGACTAAAATTAATTGTTCGTGTTGATTTTTGCATCAGTTTAAGCCAAAACTTTTTCGTACCTGTTTATTCTTAAAATATATCATCTCTCAAACTTATTACTACCAAATGAGAGTTTGTTATTGATCAAACAAGAAATATTGCACGAACAATGTTCTCCCCAAATAAAGTTCTAACAATATCCCCCTTTTGACAATAACAAAGATCGAATTTTAAAATCTGAAAAGTGAAAACACATGGTGAGATATATACTCAGTTCAATATAAACATATGACATGTATTGATATGCAATGTAAGCTCTCCCTACAAATATGCATGTATGGAATAGAAAATAGGTAATCTAGAAACTCCTTGCTTAAAATCAAAACATGAAAACTCCCCCTAAAAACATGTAAGGTTGAAAGAATTGTCATGTTGAAACCACTTGTAAACCAAACATGAAAACTTGTAAAAAAAACTCACAATCAACCACAATCAAACTCAGAAAGTTTTCAAATAGTTTTTAAATTTCTCATTTTCTCCCCCTTTTTATTGTTATCAAAAGAAACACACCTAGAATATACAATTTACCTTAAAATATAAATAAAGAGTATTCAAATGTGTAAGGAAATACACATCGGTTCACAATTTTTTTTATAGAATATAGCACGAGAAATACATACTAAACTTCAAAAATCATGAAATATGATAACAAGTCATATTAAAATTCACATTCAAACTACGAAGATATCAATATCACATTCAAACTACGTAGATATCAATAAAAACTTTGTAAAAATTACAATAAAAGTAATTATATTAGATCATAAAATAAATTCAGATATATCTTTTAGTTTGAGCTTTCTTTTCTTACACAACTTGAATTATCTCAACCTTCAAAAACGGTCCAAAATCTCAACCTATCACCTCAACCATATAGGAATTTTTAAGCAGAAGAACGATAATGTTTGGAGGGCGATGTACACCATCTTTAAATATAAAAAAATATTTAGTATAGGATGGATATCCTTGAGATATTGCACATTTATATCCACGAGTGTGGGTTTTTACCATCTTTTAACAAGTACACTCAAATTTTACTGTGGATTTATAGAGTGTGGGTCTTTGACCATCTTTTTCACGAATACTCTCTTTTTGCTTGATGTTTTATAGCATATATGTACTTTTATACATGAAAAGTAATATTGGTGTTGTATTGAAGTATAAAAATTGTTTTCAAAACCTGTGTGATATATCCAAAAATACTTTATGATCATCATATAAAAACCTTTATTCCTATTTTTACAAAGCTAAACATGATAAGATTATACTAAGATGTGAAAAGTAATATGAAGAATATAATAAATCATCATGTTCTTTCAATCAAATATGTAAAACTTTGTGTGCACATATAATATAAATAAATTGTGAAAAACATATGTGAACCAATATGATAAAACTCATGCCTATCTACTAACAGATAACCTTACCTGAATATTTTATGTAAATGTATATACATAAGCACATTCCCAAAAAAAGTTAATTTTTTATTTTTTTAAAGATGAAAATAAAGAAAAAGAAAATTTGTTTTTGTTTTCGTTTTTCATAAGAAAAGAAAAATAAAGAAAGAGAAAATTTTATTTTCTTTTTGATTTTTTGTAAGAAAACAAAAAAATAAAGAATGATAATTTTTTATTTTGTTTTCAAATTTTTTTAAGAAAAAATAAAAAGAAGAATATTTTTTTTGGTTTTTCAATATAGGAGAAGAACCAAAAATCAAGAAAAAATTAAAAAACTAAAAAAATAAGAAATCTACCAAATCTAATGTATATACATACAATAAGATAGATGATCATGCATATGAGTACTAACTAAACAAATATGAAGTAAGTACAAATAGTTAGTATATGCTAGTGTATCTCATGCATCATCTGAATATGTAAGTAACAAGTAAGGGTAATAGATATACCTGAAACCTACCCTTATGAGAAGATAATATAAGATATATTTCAAATCTGCACCTTCTCGTATCCATGCAGACCAAGGATTAGATTTTGATAATCTAAATCTGCAAGCAATCACCATGTGTTGCCTCAATCCTTGATCAACCTGCAAACTTACAGAAAGGCAGACAAGTGTGACCCATGTATCTACATAGGCCCACATTGGTTAGCAATAAGGCATTTCGGTATACATATCTATTTGACTATTTTAATCTTATATTTCATATGATAACTCATTGAAACATGTCCAGTTTTTCCACATAATGAGTATATAGAATGATAAATTCCATAATATGATCAAAAAACCAAGATTATTACCCTTTATAAAAAAAAAGGTTGAAACTTTTTATGTTTTTCAGAATATGAATAACCAAGTCTAGTTTTATCTCGATTGGAAAGAACCATGTGAAGACCTTTTGAGCCTAATGAAAAATTCTTCACGGTCTTTTCCAAACCACTAATTTTGGACTTTAATTGTTTATTTTTAGAAATAATTATTTGTATCAAATTTCAAACTTTATTTGTTCAGATGACAAATGATAATATAACTCATTTATCTTAGCAACTAATTTTTCTTTTTCACATTGATTATTTTCAAGTTGCTTAGATAAACAAGAGATTTGATTTTTTAGCTCAGGACATTGTGTGCACATGAAAGAGGTTGTATCTTTTGAATTCAAATTTAAAGAAGAAAATTCAACTATTTTTTATAAAAGTTTTTTTTTCTTCAAGTTTGTATTCATCCTTCTTCTTACTTTATATTTTTAGTGATTTTGTCACGCCCCGCTTCCCAAAATACCTGGGAATCGGAACGCGAACAAGCCCGCGACGTATTAGATTAAGGAGAATAAATAAAATTAAACATTTCTCTTCAACCTAATACGCTAAGCGTCAAGAAATAAATACAAAGGCACAGGTCCCCGATCACAGTAGCGAGAATATAATGAGCAACTCAGAATAAAAAAGACATATCACAAATAGAATATCATCCGAGACACAAAGTTTGGGTCAAACAAGCCCTTATTACAAAACAGTCCAACTAAAATAAAAAAATACATAGTCCAACAAAATAAGAAGGAACTACTGCAAAATAACTAAGTCCCTCAAAAGACTAAATGATAAGGTACTACATAAGTAATCTAGTGTCCATCAGTGATTACGTAAAAGAAAAGACTAAGCTTCCGTCTGTTCTTCTGTTCCACCTGGAAGACACTCCGGCTGGGCATACTCCTGCTCTAATACATCATCATACTGGAC